TTGGCTCAAGGCCGGGCTCTGCCCCCTGATGTGACCTCAGGGAATCCCCTATGACTCACCTGTGATGGCCACAATGATAGCACCTCACTCATGTGGTGAGGACCGAAGGAGAGGGCAGGCCTGAGTGCAAGCCCCCACCAGGCAGGGAGCACCCAGAGACAGGGAGCATCTACAGGCAGGGAGCCTCTGAAATGGTGCCTGTTACTGTCCTTCCCTTACTTCCAGGTGGTCAGCTGTGTGACAGCCACAATCACCAGCCTGCATTCAATAAATGGCTCCCAGCAGCCACTCTGTCCCAGTGGCCCGGCACCCACTCTGCAGAGTTATGCATGAAGGAAGGTGTTCCCTGAAGGCAATGCCTGTGTCCAGAACCCCTGCCCACTGGCCCTTGGTTTGGGTTCCTTTTTAAGCCACACTCTGTTTCTTCTGTCTCTGAATCTTCCAGGTTCCCACTTCACTCACTTCCAGGCTGAGGACCTGTCTCTCCTTCAGCTCCTGGGACAAAGACAGTTTTTCACATGCCAATGAGCACATATTTGGGGCCAGACTATCCGTGCTCAGGTTTGGTAACAATTGCTGCAGCCAGCTCCCAGCACATGAACAGAAATCTGAGCTGATGTTTGCAGACTGGGTGCCTGTGCCTGGGTCTGTCCAGAGGGTGGTCTGGGACCAGTGGGGCCTCACTCCCCCCGGCCTTGTCGGAAACAAGGATGCCAGGCCCCACCCCAGACCCGCTGAATGTGGGGTCTGCATCTTCACAAGACCCTGGGCGGCTGGTCCAGCACACAGATGACCTCTCACATATGGCTCAGAAGTAATAACTGATGACACCTCTAACAGTCAGAAGATTTCATGGGAGAAAGAGATCGCCAGCGTTTTCAGTCATCTGCAGTGCCACTCCTGCCCCTCCACCCCCGCCACACCAGCAGGGTGCCGGTTCTTGGGTCTCTACAGTAGCCTCCACCACCTCTCCTGCTCCCTGCCTCCTGCCCCTCACGACCCCTGGGCCTGGAGCCCCTGCCTCAGCCCTGGCGTCTCCCCGAGGACCACCCTGGCTGCTCCCTCCTTGCCCTCTGCCTGCGCCCTGTCCTCTGCCTGGGCCAGGAGGCTCCATCTTTTCCACCCTGAGATGTAGAATCCACTGCCACCTTCTCAGGCAGGCCCTCCTGGGCCTCCGTCTTTAAAACAGCACCGGCATCAGCAGCACCGTGTTTTAGTGCCTAATTATCCCCAAGTCATCCTACATGATCTCCCGCGTGGCCCGTACGGGGCAGGACGTGGTGTGCACTGACTCACTGTGTCTCTGTGAGCCCCACGGCATCCTCACCGCCAGGTCCCCATGGCCCGGGTGCTACCTCAACAGCCCAGGCTCTACCGCTAATTTAATAATGCACTGTTGAACAATGGGGGACTGCCAGCAAGCGCCCCCTCGCTCTGGGGCTCAGTTTCTCCACTGGTGAGACGTGCAGCCTTAGCCACAGCACCGTGCAGACCGCCCATCTCCAGGAATGGACAGGTGCTCCCTGTGGGGGCAGCTCTGCGCCTTTTCCCCTCGGCTGCTCCCTACGACACCAGGAGGGAAGCCTGAAGGGAGCCCTGTGGGCCGGGCCCTGGCAGGAGGCGGGAGGAGAAACGGAGCCCATGGCAGGAGAGAGACGGCGTCACGGCCATCCACAGAGGATGCTGCTCCTCAGACTGAGGCCTGGTCCATGCAAGAAATTTAAACCCAGGAACTGTTTCTACATTCACCTCTCTCTAGTGTAGTTTCATTCATTCTGTTTAATTTTCTTTAAATTGCCACCAATGATCCAGGTCATGGCTCTCCCCAGCTGCGAGCAGCCCGCCTCCGCGTGGAGGCCCTGGGGTCTGCAAGCCAGGAGAAGAGGGGCCGCTGGGAAGGCATGGGGGGCGTGGGGACTGGGAAGGGGCAGTCGCTGGCTGGGCAGCTGCTCTCGGGGTACCACTCCTTAAGGAGCACCCCTCGGGATTGTCTGGCGGGTCACACCCGCCTGCACAACATTTACCACTGAAGGGTGAGGGCAACGGGTGGGCTTGGGTCCCACCAGCCTCACTACAGAGCCACCCCTTTGGAACCTCTAAAACCCCACGGCCCTGAGCCAGAAAGCCCTGGCATGCAAGGGCTTGGCAGTTCTGCCTTCTACATGGCCGACCCTTCTTGGGGGACCCTGACGGCGTGGAAGCTACTGAGGAGACTGCCGGTCCCCTGTCACCTGACGCTTCATCTCGCACAGCACCAAGGGCTCCTGGGTCCAGGCTCCAAAACACGTAGGTCTAGGATGCTGGGTGTGCATCTGTGCACGAGGGGCCCAAGGGTGTGTGGTGCCCCCTCCTATCCACTTCAGATATGTCTCAGAGCCTGGGTAACAAAGTGAGGCCCCACCTCTACAGAAAATTAATACACGCACACAAAAAAGCCGGTGCAGTGACTCACACCTGTAATCCCAGCGCTTTGTGGGCTAAGGTGGGAGCACTGCTTGAAGCCAGGAGTTCAAGACCAGCCTGAGGAACATGGTGAGAGCCCAGCTCTACAAAAAAATTAAAACTTAGCCAGGCGCTGTGGCATGTGCCTATAGTCCCAGCTACTTGGGTGGCTGAGGTGGGAGGATAGCCTGAGCCCAGGAGTTCTAGGCTGTAGTGAGCCATGATCAGACCACTGCACTCCAGCCTGGGCAACAGGGCAAGACCCTGTCTCTAAAAATTAATTTATTTAATTTAATAAAAATAAAATATGGCTTGGACATCTCTCTGGAGTCTCCAAAAGTGATTCACGGTGTGACATCAAGCCCATCGTGCATTTTGTGAAAAGAAAGGGCCTTCTCTTTGGAAACAGGAATAGCTGTTTCCCTCCAGTGTCTTCTGCAGAGCGGGGCTCATATGCGCTCATGTGAGCAGCAGCCCGTGGGCCAGTGAGGCTGGGATCATACCGGCTGCAGGTGTCACGTGCGTCTTTCGCCCTGAGGCATGTGAGCAGCAGCCCGTGGGCCAGTGAGGCTGGGATCATGTCGGCCGCAAGTGTCACGTGCGTCTTTCGCCCTGTGAGGGGCTGCGGCTCAGGGGCATCTGCCATTTCCTTTCCACAGAATTTAAAGATGAGGTTATCTCCATCTGCCCCGGCAGCATTACAAGTCACTTCCAAGCACCAGGGCCCTGTTCCCATTGACCTAAGAGTGACTGCGGTCCACCCGGCCTCCGCACACAGAATCCTGTGGCTCAGGTTTGCTGGTGGTTTCTGTTGGGGAGTGAGGGTGCCTGGGCTGAGCGCTGGACCTGTGACTGTGTCACAGTGAGCTCGTGGCCTTCCCACAGCAACCACCTGGAAGGCTGCATTCCTAGGCCCTCTTTCTGGAGAAGGAAAAGTCTCCCAGGACGGGAGAAGGCGAAACCCGGATTCTGCCTCTGTCATACCTTGAAGAGTTCTGTCTCCTGGTCAACAGGACGGTGGGAGCCCAACACACTCAACCCCCGAAAAACCCACACGAAACCACGCGGGACACGCGGGGCAGCACCGCCCCCTGGTCCAGTGCAGACACTGCAGACGCTGGTGGATTCAGGTAGATTCCGCCTGTCCACGGCCTTGATAAACGTGACCACAGAGGCAGGCAGTGACCCAGGCAGGGATGGCTGTTCACGCCCTGGAGACAAAGTGCCTGCTGGGAAACACCTGAGCATGGCGCCCCCTCCCAGGGAGCTGCTGTGATCAGAGACATCCTGACTCTTCCCAAAGCCACCCTAAGAGCCCTAGACTGGGAATGAGCCCCCAGAAGTGACTGGCCACGATGAGCACATGAGGCTCTAAAAGACCAGGGCCCCACACGGAAGATGAGTCTCGTGACAAATCTGTCCGGGAGACGCTGGAGGCGTCACTGCTTCCCTGCCTGACTTACCCTCCAGCCTAGCCCTCTCTCAGCCCCCAAAATGCCCAACGCCAGCAACAGATTACAGCCCAGCATCCAACGTATCACCGGTTCCCAACACATCTGCCAAACCCAGCCTGGCTCGGAGCAGCTACATCTACACTGTCCACACCAGCCCTTCTGCGAGCCCAGTCCACGGAGGAGAGTGTGGTGTGCAGTGTCAGCAGCAACACCTCCTTCCACTCCTGGTTTCCACCTACACAAGTCTGCTTGCCCCGCCCCAAACCCAGGGTGGCTCAGACCAAGCTGCTCCCGAGCGGCTCTCCAAAGGCTTCCTGCGCATTTAGAATGAAATTCACGCTCCTCCCTGAGGCCTGGATGCTGGAGCCGAGCCTGCTCCTCCTGGCCTCCTGCCTCCCCAGGGCCTCGGAGCTCAGGGTGCTCCATCTACGGCCACACCACGCCCCTTCCTGCCCCCTGCCCTGTGCACTTGCTGTTTCCTGGCCTAGAACATTCTCCCCCCAGGCCTCCAAGACATCAGCTTCCTCTGGTCATTCAGACGCCACATCCCGGAGACACCTCACCGCTCCGTGAAGACAGTCCCATTCCCTGCTGTCACCTTCTACTGGGCTGTTCTCCTCCACTTTCTTCCTACGCTGATTCAAAGTGACTAATTTATCTGCTAGTTTGTTTATTATCTGTCTTTCCCACTAGAACCAAACTCCTCAAGAGCAGGACTGTGTTGTTCTTCTTGTTTACAGCAGAGCCCCCAGCACCCAGCTCACAGCAGGCGCCCAGTGAGAATCTCCCAGAGGGACGGATGGAGGGACGAGGAGTCCCTCCTTGGATCCCCCCAGGTGCAGTCTGGGCGTTGCTGTGGGAAGCACACCACACTGGACTCGGCTTACACAACCATGGGCTCCTCGGATGTTTGCTGGCACCCAATACATGCAGGGCCCTGGACTACAAAAGCCAAGAGAATGGATTCCGTTTGTAAACGCAGGCCCCATGGAGTAATGTGCCCAGGGCCCATGGGCACTGGCGGGCAAAGCATGCGTCCCGCCCCCACCTGCAGCCCCATGGCACATCCTCCAGGTCCCGGGACCCCTGAGGCCTGGCTCTTACCTCCAGCGGGACCACCTGCATGAGGATGGCAAAGTTGGTGAGGTGAGTGCAGCGGCAGACGGAGTAGGTGAGGTTTCCTCCCGTGAGCGCACAGCCCTGGTTCGACCAGATCCCTTCTCCGGAGCTGAGGACACAGGAGAAAGGATCAGAGGAGGTAGCACCGCACCCTTGGCAGGCCGGGGACTGAAAGCAGCACCCCCTACACCACACGGCCCTGTGAACTCACAGCGGTGCCCACGTCTGCCACTCCAGGAATACACACCCAGACCACGGGGTGGGAGTTGGGAGGAGAGATTCTGGCCATTAGGCCAGCGAGAGCTGGAGAGCGTCTGCTGCTGGTCAGGCCACAGGAAGCAAGGCCCTCCCTCTGGGATAGGGAATGGAGAGCTGCTTCAGCACAATCACCCTGAAAAGCACCTGGACAAGGCCCAGCACAAAATGAAACGCACACAGCGCACGCAGCGGCACGCGCCAGGGACCACATTCAAGACTGGTCACTGAATCATGAGTGACAGTAACTTAAACGCCCATCGGGGAAAACGGGTAAGTGCGGTGTGGGAGAGAGAAATATGATAAAATACCTCGCATCAGTTAAAAAGAACATCCTTGACCAATATGTATCGATAAGGATAAAACACCAGAACACAATGTACAGTGACTAACCACGACGCGAGGCCCGTGGGGCCAGCAGCACCACACACTTCCCATGGACACAGCTATGACCGACACAGACTGCGGAGAAAATGCTCGCACAGAAGCCGCCCACGGTGTCACCATCAGAGACAGGGTGGCAAGATCAGGATGAGACGGAAAGGTCTAAGGAGACCCTTGCTTTTTCTATAATGTTTTACTTTTTACCTGAATAATGTGTGGATATATTACTTGCATGACTTTGTAAAGTGTAAACCTAGACAAAAACGACGGGAAGCAAACGTGCTCTCGGTTAACTGTGGTTAATCCTGTTGCTGTGAATATTGGTGACTATCCTTTTCTTCTCTGTATTTCTCTATATTTTCTTTTTTGTTGGTTTGTTTGCCTTGAGACAGGGTCTCACTCTGTTTCCCAGGCTGGAGTGCAGCAGTGCGATCATAGCTCACTGCAGTCTTGACCTCCTGCTCTCATGCGATCCTCCCACCTCAGCCTCCCAGGTAGCTGGGACTGCAGGTGCATGCCACTGTGCCAGTTAACATTGTTCTTTGTATTTTTGTAGAGATACAGTCTTGCTATGTTGCTCTGGCTGGTCTCGGACTCCTGGGTTAAAACCACCTTCCTGCCTCAGCCTCCCAAAGTACTAGGATTACAGTTGTGAGCCACTGTACCCTGTCTTCTATATTTTCAAATTCCAAAAGAAAAAAAAAAAAGATTTAAATGGTTCTTCCCTGAAGTTAGAACCTCAAGTTATCAGTAAAGACAAATCCTTGCTTCAACCAAAGGCAATGGCGCTTGGGGGAAGGCATTTATGAAGGTGAATAAATTAAAAGGCTCTAGTTTGTATTTGCTTTGTATTCACTTTCAACTGTGGTGCCAGCATGGATGTGGCAGATGAGAACTGTGGCTGTCCGGTGGCGTGACTGATGAAGACCCCAGCTCACACCTCTCCAGCCAATGTCTCCGGATCGAGCGCACACCAGCAGCCTTGGGCAATGGGCACCCTGCATTAGCCCTGGGTGATGTGGAGCCCAAGGGAGGGGCTGGGATGGTCATTCAGACATGACCCAGGGGTGGCTCTGAGTTTGAGGATGGAGACTCAGACAGCAGCTCAGTGGTGATTTTCCTGATTAATGATCTGCTCTCCTAGGGGAGGGAGAAGGCATTTAGCAGAGAGCAGAGGACAAAGCAAGAACCACTCAGACGTACCAACTGAGAGGAGCAAAACCCCATTAATAACTTCAGAATTGATGGAACTTAAAGATGGGGTCATGTCCTCCTCCTCTACCTCCCCACCCCTTTTGATCTAATTTTCCCAGGACCTTGGAGGGAGTCAGCAAACACCAGCTGTTGTGTTATATATTGCACCTTTGTCTGTCAATTAGCTGCATGAGGACCGTACTTCAATTTGAAGGGGGCCTGAACATTAACAGGCACTGGATTAGGTGAACATGGCCATGGGTATGAGTTGCCCCTTCTGCTTACACAAAGGGTAAGCTAAACAACACGAAAGTCACATTGTTCAGATGGAGCTGCAAAGGTGTGACGATGACCTAGTTAGCCAGAGGAGTAGAGCCTTAAGTGGCATCAAGGAAGATCTACTTCCAAGGGAGTCAGCGAAAACAAAGGGGCAGGCTTGCAGCTTGTGCATAAATAAATCTGCTATGGAAGCCAGATGAAGCAGTATCAAATAACACTAGAGATATATACGGCCCTGGGACCCAGGAAGTCTGCATCTAAACAGAAAAATGTTCAGTCATGCATAAATAAAATGTAACATACATAAATACGGTAAAAGACATGTATGTCCATACAGGCAAAATACAGAAACAAAAGGTGGAGGAATGACGGAAGAAACACTGAATTAAGCAGCACCATATATTTCCTATGATTATAAATATAAATTATACATAAATTATTGAAAAAACACCCAAAAAACCCTCCCACAGTAGTTACTACTGGGGAAAGGGGTAGAGATCAGGATAAGAGGTAAAGACCAAAGGGAATACTTGCTTTTCTATAATGTTTTACTTTTGAACAAAGTAATATATTGATATATTACTTGTATAATTTCTTAAAGAATCAGTCTAGGAAAAAAAGCAGCCCAGAATTCTAGGCCCAGTGAAAATCTTTCAAGTCAAAAAGAGAATACTTTCTCAAATGGTAACTGAATCTATTGCCAGTAGACAAGAACTAAAAGAAGAGTTAAAGGAATATGATACTACACAAAAATCTACACAAAGAAATAGAATAGTTGGAAGTGGAATAAGTGAAGGTAAATAGGCAATTATTATTGTCTTAATTGCTATAATTGCTCTAGAAGATAACTCAATGTCCAGGGGACAAAAATACTAGCAATGCATTGTGTTTATGGTGTCTGTAAAGGTGAAATGTACTACAACAACAGTACACAGAATGGGCAGGAGGAAGTGTGAACCTATTATTATAATGTCTTAGAATACATTTGGAACGATATCATAGCATTTGAAGGCAGGCATGAATGAATTAGACATATACACACTGTAAGCTTAGGTAACTACTACCAAAAAAGTTAAAAGGATGTATAAATTAGAAATCATTTATAGTAGAGATAAAATAGCATCATAAAAGATATTCAACAACCCAAATGAAGTCAGAAAAAGATAACATTTTTAAAAGATAGAAAAGTTAGAAGACATCTAGCAAAATGGCAGATTTTAATCCAACCACACCAATGATTACATGAAATGTAAATTGTCTAAACACGTCAATTAAAAACAGAAATTTGAGGACTGGATTAAAGAAAAGACGAGACCCAGCTATATGGAGTCTAAAAGAAACCCACTTTAAATATAAATATATAAATAAGATAAAAGTTAAATTATGGGAAAAGATATAGCACTCAAACACTAATCAACAAAGCTAGAGTAGTTTTACTCAAATTAGACTAAGTCAACTTCAGAGTAACACATATTTCCCAGGGTAAAGAGGGACATTACGTAACGATAAAAGGGCTAATTTTCCAAGAAGACATAACAATTCTAAACATACATGTACCTAATAACAGAACTTCAAAATTCATTAAAGAAAAATTCATAAAACTAGAAGGAGACAGATAAATCTATCACTAAAATTGGAGAATTCACACTCTTCTCTCTTTAATTGACAGAACAAGTTGACAGAAATGTAGTAAGAATATAGAAGACATAATCATAACCATCAATCAGCTGGGTGTAATTGACATTTATAGAACACTCTACCAAGAATACACTTTTTTTCAAGTGCACATGGGACGTTCATCAAAGACTGAACATATACGGGGTCTCATAAAAACTTTTAACAAATTTAAAAGAACTAAAATTATAGAAAGAATATTTTCTGATCATAAAAGAAACTGTTTACAAATCAATAGCAGAAAGCTCTCTGGAAAATTTCCAACTATTTGGAACTAAACTACATGCTTCAAAATAACACACAGGTTGAAGAGGAAGTCACAAGGAAAATTAGAAAATATTTTAAATTTAACCAAAATAAAAACAACATATCAAAATGTGTGGGATGCAGCTAAATCAATGCTTACAGAAAAAATACAGCATTAAATGTTTATATTAGAAAATAATAAAACTTCATAGCAATAACCTAAACCTACACTTCAAGAACTTTTAAAATGAAGAGCAAATTAAACTCAATGAAAGCTGAAGGAAGTAAATTAAAGACAAAGAGGATAAGTCAATGAAATTGACAACAGCAACACAAGAGAGAAAAATCAATGAAGCCAAAAGTTGTATCTTTGGAAAAAAATCAATAAAATTAATAAACCTATAGTAAGAGTGAC